GGTCCATGTCTTGCTTGGCAATCGCCTTCTTCACGTCCAGGCTCTTGTTCTTGATGGTGTGGTTCTTCTGGAGGATAATCTTGTCCACGGGATCGTAGTCATCGAACTCAATGAAGGCGAAGCCGCGCTTCTTGCCCGTATCCTTGTCGGACACGATGTTCACGCTGACGATCTGGCCAAAGTCCTTGAAGTACTCGCGCAGGCACTCATCATCGTGATCGTCGCGGAGTCCGCCCACAAAGAGCTTCTTCACCGTGGCCCCGGCATTCGGGGCATCGATCTCCTGGCGCGGCACAGCCCTCTTGGGCTCCACGGTGCGTCCATCGATCTTGTGGGGGCGCGCATTCTGGGCATTGTCGATCATGTAAGACTGGGAGTACGTGATGAACCCAAATCCGCGAGAGCGCTTCGTCTTGGGGTCCTTCATCACCACCACGTCCACGATGTTGCCCCACTTTTCGAAGTGGGCTTTAAGGCCATCGTCCGTGGTGCGGTAGTCCAGACCGCCGATAAACAGTTTGCGCAGCTGCTCTGGCTCGGTGATCTGTGGACGAAATTTGAGTGTTTTTGGGGTGAGTAAAGGAGTTTCAAATAATTTGCATAAACAGGAATGCTTAAGTAGTGATTGACCGTTTAACTTTGTATTGTTTGGTATAAATTACCTTTCAATAAATACATTTTGAAAAAAAATCCCAGAACCATAGGATGCGAAAGAACGTGGTTATCGTCTATAATTTACTATTTCATACAGATTTTAGGAGGTTTGGTAAGCGTCTTAAGTTTTACAGTTTTTACGATCACCTTTTAACGAATGATTTTCTGAAATTTTTCGTTTTTGTTTAGAATTATTCTCCATTGTGATTTATCTTTGTTGAAATATAAACATGTTTCAATAAATTTAAAATCACTTGAATATTTGTGGGGTTTTAACATAAGATTTCGATTGGACTAGAAAAAATGGTTTTTAAGCTGAACTCGAAAAAATTTTATTTTTGTAAACTAGTGTTATATATCCATCCTAACATTTTATTTAGTTTCTATTATCGACAACAATTTTTTAAGTTTTTTAAAGGTTGTTTGGTTGGAGTAAAAAGTGTTACCACTAACCTTTTGTTTTCCAAGGACATAAGGCAAAGAAAGATTAAAAATAAAGTCATTGAGTCGTCCGAAGATAAACATGGGTTATAGATAGAACGTGACATTCAATCGCAATTGTTTATGATTGTAATTACGGTACCTGGCCGAGAAAAACGCCGCCCGCCATTTTCTTTTTACTATTTGCACCGCCATGACAGCTCTCCCGTGTATGTGTGTATGTGTTTTCGTTCTCTTTTTTTTCTCGGCAGCCGGTAACGCGTTTTCCTCAACAATTAAGTATATATTTTCCCCAAAAAAGGGGGCCATTAAACTGCTGCCGTGTCAATAACCGGTTGAATTCGGACAAAGATCAAAGACCTGTGCAATTCTGCAGCCAGCGAAAAAGCCGCGTGCTGCATTACCTGCAAATTTGTCGGCGTCGACAGTTTGCACTTTCCCACGCGCTGTTATACAAAAATAAGCGCAGTTTGGTAACTCACCTCGTCGCCATCGTCGTAGTTTCCGTTGGAGTCGTTTAGATCCGCCATTATTGTACTGTTTGTGTGTAAAACGCAAGCAACTTCAAAGTCGAGCACAGTTTGTCAGTTTTTCACTCTTTTTTTTCCAGCAGACGCCCGAAAAGTGTACAGCACGCACAAAGGAATTAGCCAGCAGTGTGGCCAGGTGTCGAATGCGCCGAAAGGCCAAGCGATAAGATACGATTGGAGATGCTCCGTGGAACGTGGAATTGGAACGATAGTTCAAGGAAAATTAAGTACTCACTGCACTGAGGTGGTTTTTAAATTAATTATCTTTACGACTACGTACATTTGCACTAAAACTAATGTTGTTTTTAAAAATTCATTGAATTTAGCAGTTTGGCTTTAGAATTTTTTTTCTAAAACACTTATATTTGCTAGTATTAATACAACTCTTATTTTATAACTTTTCCCTAATTCCGCTTCATTGCTTTATTAGACTAAGGAATTATTGGTTGCTTCATCAGACCGTACGTTATAATCGTTCTTTCATTTAAAAACGTGTTTATATGGGTCCATAATTTGTTGAAATAAAATTCAATTCAAATTTTAACATGGGTTTTTAATAATTCAATTGAAACATGAAAACTCAGTAGTAATTTTAAACTATTTCTATTTTTATTTTAAAATTTATTGGTGTGGGCGACCTAAAAACAAATAATGAATACCCACAACGTGGCAAAACGCATTGCCCGCCCAAAACATCGATAGGCGGCGAACTATCGTTCCATTCCACCTTTGCGGCGACTGTCAAACATCGTTTTCTGCTGTCACTTTCACTTCCGTTTGTGTCGAGTCGCTTGCGTTTTTTTCGTGTGAAAAAGAAGCCAGAGAAAAGAGAGTGTGTGGAGAGCAAGTAAATTGTAAATTTGCCATTAATATTCTTTAGTAAACGGTACGTGCTAGTGAATACGATTAAGTTAAGCGCAAGGTGGACTTTGGCCACCAAGAATATTGATTATTTTCGCCAATATTCTGTACACCCGGTACATTGCGTGCGAGTGTGTGTGACGTCTGTATGTGGTGGCCGCCATCTTGGCAAATACACGCACACTCGCATGCATGTGTTATTATCTTTTTTCCATTCGGAAAGAACAGTCGAGCAAAATAGAAGCTGAAAAATAAAATACTCTTCCTTTAAAATATACTTTTTATTAACTTTTAGCATCTGCTTGAGATACGTTAAGACCCCTCAACATGGTGGGATCTCGAGTGTACGTGGGCGGTCTGCCGTACGGAGTGCGCGAGCGCGATTTGGAGCGCTTCTTCAAAGGCTACGGCCGCACTCGCGACATTCTTATCAAGAATGGCTACGGCTTCGTGGTGAGTACAAAAAAGTTTTATATTAAATGTGTTAAATACAAAAATTAGAAAATTAAAATTGATATATTTCTGGGTTGCCAAGTTTTACGGCCTTTTGATTGAAAAAGTTTTCTGTAGCACCCCGGAATGTGAAAGGAATTGCCACATACTCTTTTAATATCATACCATAGACCTTGCCACTTTGATCCAAATGTAAATTTACCATGTTGATTTATACCCTGAGACCGTATTTTAAAAACATTTTCATAACCAAATGTTACAGAAAGTTAGGAAGACAAAATTCCTACACTTTCTATAGAATGTTATTGTATTTAGGCAATACTAAAAATATCTATATTTTTTCACACATTGTTGTCGTGGCAGCCATTATAAAATTAAATTTGTATATTAGAGAAAACATTTTTATTTTTTTTGTATTTTAATACTTGGTTTATCCTCTGTAGACCTACTCTCTGATTTAAAATAGTTCTATTGCTGCTTTAATTGTTTCCAAAATAATTAGCATACCCTCTGAAAGGTTAATAAAAGGCAGAAAACCCTTACCAATTCCATAATCAATACTAAACTCTAATTGAATTTTCAGGAATTCGAAGACTATCGCGATGCTGACGATGCTGTTTATGAACTGAATGGCAAAGAGCTGTTGGGCGAGCGGTAAGTTACTACAAGTTGAAAAAGCCCGCGAAAACGAGTGACTCACGCTTGTCTGTTCTATTTTTGCAGCGTGGTTGTTGAACCCGCCAGAGGTACCGCTCGTGGCAGCAACCGCGACCGCTACGACGATCGATACAGTGGTCGGCGGGGCGGCGGCGGCGGTCGCTACAACGATAAGTAAGTACAGGCCCTAAACCCGACCAAAGTAGCGACGATTCTGTCCTCTAACTTCGTTTGCGTTGAAGTTTGCCCCAAAATTAGCATTGCCAAATTATATTCATTTGAAAGTCCTATTCACACAGATGCGAACAGTTCAAATTGTTTGCCACTATATTACCAATATGTTTGTATATTTTTTCAGAACTAGTTAATATATTTCATCTTTGGTCATATTCATAGCGTTTCCCAAGACTAGTTTTCCCCAAATTAATTTTGTTTTTAATACTGTTTATAAGTTTTTGAGTAGAGCAAATATCAGTTTATTTAAATTTCAGCTTTATGATCTTAAAAAAACAGTTCTACTTGAAAGAGTATTCTAAAAAATAGTCTTAAATTCAGTTCATAAGAGATTCCCATGCATCCAATCAAACAAATGTCCTCTGTGTGGATGGGACCCAAACGACACTGACTTGCTGTTAATCTTTTTATTTCCAAGACGCTCCGTTTTCCTATGCATATTATTAATTTCCTACGTTTGCACGTTTCCTATCCGCATATATTATGTAAAATGTTTGTTTTCGTTTTGTTGCGCATAACCCGAGTGTAAATATGCACATGTTCGAACATTCAGCATCACCGTTGATTTTTGTGATGGAGCAGCGGAAGCAGCAGCGCAGTGTCAATACTAATTAGCAAATCCATTCAATTATTCACCAGAAACAAAAATTCCAGATCATCCTCTCGCTATGGGCCACCGTTGCGCACTGAGTACCGCCTGATTGTGGAGAATTTGTCCAGTCGCGTTAGCTGGCAGGTAAGTGATCGGCATGAATCGATTATCGGGTCCTGGGCCCGGTGATCACTGTAGCTTAGATTCGAGGAGTGTAGTGATAGCATTAATAACGGCTAACCGATTGAAATGGAACTCTATTACTATCGCCCACTAATCAACTTACCCATCCCCCAACCAAGAACCACTCCCCCACACTTTTGAGAACCTCTTTTGATTTCGACTTGCTACCCGGTGTCTTTCTCCCGTTTTTCGTTTAACTCCTCCACTCTGACTCCAGCCATCTTTAATCTGTAAATTAGCCCTAAGCTGTACAGTTGACCTAGGCTTAAGTGAAACGAAAACATAAGAAATACTGCTAAAACCCTGGTACTGATCGGTGTAATCTACCCACCATTACTTTCTCTCGCACACACCAACCGAAACCGATAAAAAAAAGAGTTTGATGTGCTTTGACTGAGAGATTCCCTCCTCGGCCTGGGCCAAAACTATAACCGAACCGGGACCAAAACCCCGATAGAGAATCGAATCGAATCTAATTGAATCGCCGTGAGAAAGACAAACTGTTGACCGGTTCAGAGTGTTTCCCAAAAAACCAAATGAAGTGGTGGAAGGCAGAAAGACAGTCCCCAGAGCAGCCCCAGATTGGTTTCGATCTGCGATCTACGATCTGCGACCTACGACCTCCACGATGCGCCATCGCCGCCGCCTCATCCATCCGTCCATTCCAAACAAAATAAAAAAGAATATACACATAAGTCGATCAGAATCGAACCCAATCCAAAAAACACACGAAACCAAAATCAGAAAGCAAACGATGACGATGACGATGGACGATGATGAGCTGCCCGGGTCAAAAGGCCAGCCCACGTAAGAAGATTCAAGACGTAGGCTGGCCTCTTGCGTGTTAGGTATTTAACTCTCTGCTAAAACTATTCACAATTTTAACTACCAACAATATTATATAAAGAATTGTCAAATTCCTTATAGCCATTGTGAGTGTGAGAGGGCGTAAATCGATACAATCGAGTGTGGTTAGAGATGAGAAGCTTGCGTTCGCTAATTCTGAGATGATGTGATGATGGTCGTGGCGACGATGAGATGAGAGATGAGCATGTGACGATGATCGATCGATGATGATGACGATACGATGCTGGTCGCGCGTTCAGTTGCCAACTTCGGCTAGTGCCTCCGAACTTAGTCCTTCCCCCCAATTCCCGGTTCTTCTGGCTTACGGCTCCCGGCTTCCGGCACCCGGCTTCCGTCTCCGGCTGAGACTACCGACTAGACAACCAACCCATTGGAGCAGCGAGAGCAGCGTCCCGAAACGTATTTCTTATTTTTACAGTTCGTTTGTGCGTGAGGCGCCGAAGCCGCTGGTTGTTGTCCGCCCGCTGCCCGGCAAACTGCTCCAAATGCTCCACTCTCTGGCTCTCTGGTGCGGTGGTTCTGGCCAGCGATGTCTGCTCTGATCTGATCTGACCTCCTGACTGTATCCGGTGGTGTGGCTCCCTCTGAAACGAAACGAATACCGCATACCGCTATCGCTACCGCAACACTTGAATACCTTTTTTGCCATTTATAATATGATTCTGTTGTACATGAAAACCAAGAGAAAAAAAAAAAAGCATAACAAACCAAACAAAACAATACAAAAACCTAAGTAACGAAACGTAACGAGGTCTGGCCGGCCATCCATCTGCTCATCCGCCCGCCTGGCCACTGGTTCACTACTGGCTGCCTGGTCGAGTTAACGATGTTCGATCGGACTTTCGATGAGGTCATGAGGTGTCCTTGGTGTCCTTGGCCCACAGTTACTAGGCAGACAATCTAAACTCTCGGTGTAGAAACGATGTGTGTGTCCTCCTCTCTCTGAAAGCGCATTAAGTAAGAATTCAATTACAAATATTTTGTTAACTTTAATTTATTTCCAAAACCAAATCAACTATATAAACTATCTATCAATTGCCAACCACTGTTAACTATATTGTTTACGCTTAAGTTCTGTGCCGCGTGCAGCGTGGAGCGTTTGAATGTTTCGTCCGGTACTCGCTTCTGGGCACCAGCTCCTCCCATCCCGATCGATCGATCGATTGAGTCCTTCGTCCGGCGTGAGGTTCTCGGTTTCCACCCGTAGGCAGGCGCGACAAGAGCACAGGATAGACGAACACAGGGCACTCAGTGAGAGGGAGAGAAAGAGGGACTCTAAGATCGGACTTGGTTAGGAGCCAGCCCCAATATCACCGGAATCATTCGAAACGCTCCATCTGCTGCACGGGCTGTCCTTTGAGTTGCACCACTGTCGTCGGATGCGAATTGTGCGAGATCCCTGCCAAAGCTAAATTTACTAATGCTTATCCTTCTCTTCCAACTTTGTGCGTCCCCTGCAGGATCTGAAGGATTACATGCGCCAGGCTGGCGAGGTCACCTATGCCGATGCCCACAAGCAGCGCCGCAATGAAGGGTAAGTAAAATGGTCCGTAATATTTCGATTTGTTTATTAATCAGTACTCTTTCACTCCAGCGTGGTTGAGTTTGCCTCGTTGTCGGACATGAAGACGGCCATCGAGAAGTTGGATGACACTGAGCTGAATGGCCGGCGCATCCATCTGGTCGAAGATCGCCGTGGAGGACGCAGCGGTGGTGGTGGCGGCGGCGGACGTGGACGCTCCCGTTCGTCCAGCTCTCGTTCGCGCTCTCGCTCCCGCAGGCGTTCCCGCTCCCGCCGCTCGTCGCACTCGCGCTCCAAGTCTCGCAGCCGCTCCAAGTCCCGTGGCGGACGCTCCAAGTCCAAGTCGCCGGTCAAGTCGCGTTCTCGTTCCCGCTCGCGCTCCAAGTAAGTTCTGCTTTCGATACTTCCTATAGGGATCGTACTTAATATACATTGATCTTAATGAATCATATAATTGAGGATAGCGTATGGAATATAAATAGAATAGCTGCCTGATTTTAATCTATACTTTACCCTTATAGAGTTATTGCTATTAAATCTAAAATTAAATTATTATAAAATCAATATATATATTTAGAAAGACTTTATTTGGAATGAACATGTATGTTAATTACGATCCCTTGCTTGATATATTTTGATTAGATTCTTATGCTTACCCATTTAATTTTTTTCTCCTCTTGTGCTGCAGCAAATCGCGTGATGTGTCCAAGTCCAAGTCGAAGTCCCACTCCCGCACCCGCTCCCGTTCTCCCAAGCGCGAGCGCGACTCCCGTTCCCGCTCCCGTTCCGTCTCTAAGCGCGAGTCCCGCTCCCGCTCACGTTCCAAGTCCAACCGCCGCGACTCCCGCTCACGGTAAGTTTAGCTAGACCCGCTGATCTCGGCTCTATATAGATAGTTCACGGTTCTTTCTTTCGTGCTTTCTTTGGTTTTGTTTGGATGCACCTGTTTGTAGACCTCCAACTGTGGTCGCTCAAAAGCTCGTTCTATAATGCATTATAATGCCTTTTCCTTACAGCGATCGATCCGCATCGGCTGACAACAAGTCGCGTTCCCGCTCGCGCTCCCGTTCGGCCTCGCCCAAAAATGGAAACGCCTCGCCGGACCGCAATAACGAGAGCATGGACGATTAGATTAGTTAGCTGTCCCATTAATTTTAAAACACTTGATTTTAGACTTCTACTATAACTATTCTACGAACATCAACACTCAGACACCCCCCTATTTACCCTGCGTCACTAAAACCAAAACAAATGAAAATGAAATCATATACAAATCCACAACAATCGGGCCTCGTCATTTTTTGGTATCCTGGAGAATCCCACTTGCAGGTGGGCCATAGGCTGGAAAATGACTGGGACCTGTTGGATTAATTGGATTCCAGGGAGTACACTTTGGACACGGATCATGTGACATGTACACCACACAAGAACACTTAAAATTGTCTATACGATGAGTAATTTCAATAAATACGGATACATTTAAACTTAACAAATTCTTTGCTTGGAAGGTTTTACTGGAAAAAAATAACCAGGGGTGTTACAGAAATCTCTTCGGAGATAATGTGCCCGAATCCCTCCCAAAGAGGTTTCAATGGCTCCCCAGAATAAAATACCATATCGGATTTAATCATATATAAATTTAGTTTATTGTTTTTTGTTGTAATTTCGGAATATAAGTATATTACAAAGTCTTAGTTTCACTATTTCGCATTATTTGCCTGAATTAAAATTACAATTTCATTTGATTTTATTTATCTTGAATTTAAAGAAATCCACTGGTAATTTAAACCCCATTGGCTGAAATATGGTATAGTTAAATATTTAAAATTTGGAAATGAATTAGCATTCTAAAAATCTAAAATTCAGTTAAATCAAATGCATAACTAAGTTTTTCAAACTGACAAAGTTTTGGTTCTAACAATATATCGTTTTTTAAAGTAATTACTTTTATTAATTAAGTATACTATTATATACAAAGCACATAAGGATAAAAGAGATTTCTTTTGAAGCGTTTGACGTCTCGAGTGAGCAATGTGGGCCTTGAAAAATGCATCGACTAACTAGAACAGATTATCGAAAATCCTATTTTAAATGCGAATGCCGTAAAACATATCCATGGGAATGCTTAAATTAAGTGTGGGGAATTCGGTTCGACATTATCTACAACTATAACTAAATGCATTCTTTGCATAAATGCGATAGGGGGAGGTCTTGGGGGTCTGAGACGGTATATATGTCTGTCTAGCACACGTACGATGCGAAACCTTCGATGCCATTTGCATGGCATTGGTTTGCACGTACGAGTGAGTATTTGGCACATCGTGGAGTCACTTGAGCACTGGAGTTGCCTGAAATGTTCTTCGTGGGCTTCTAGCTAAGTATTTGACACTTGGTTAGATAGAGGACGTCGCCTTAGTTGCGGCTACTAACTACTGCGCACCGTGCGTCGTAAACTAATATCGAGTTCGTCTTCAAACATTACGTAATCATAATAAGTCTGAATAAAATGGATTTTTAAACGTTAGCTAACATTTATCGGCTAAATAGTATTTACAGCATTAATTTGACACTTTCATTGCGTTACTTTGGCTCCTGGAATATATTCTACGTTTATATGCACGTTTAGTTGCAAACTAAGTTAATAAAACGAAGCAAAAACGTGTCTGTTATGCTTGAATTTTTTGAAACCGTTTCGGTTTTTAGTTTCGAACATTTAAAAAGACTTAAGGCAGTTTAATAGTCAATGATATTGGTAATCCTGATCCTAAAACTTTTAAGGCTTTAATGGTTTCAAGACCATCAAATTCTCTAAACTGACTATTACGAAATGCGCGACCCCTTCTATGATATATGTAATATAGGTCTAAAATTTAAAGGAAATACATTATTTTACAAATAGCTGGCCTATAAACGTAGTAATACACAGGTTGATTTTAGCTCGAGGTTACCATCGGAATCGGTCTATTTATGGCTACGGATGAATGGATGTTAGTGTTAAAATAGAAAGACTACGAGTGAGTGTTGCCGTTCCATAATCTTTCGCATCGCTTCTAGGTTCTATCGTTCGGAAATGGCAGTGGTTTACATTCAATTGTATAGTGCCCTAGTTGTAAGTGTTGTATATATAGGTTTAGTCTCTATCATGCCGACTACATATAGATTTATGCACTAGTTCACATTGTAAATGCACACACATGGCATATCGCGGGGAGCCTGAGCCTGCATCAGAGCCTACATAAATTGCTCGATATCATTATCCAAACGGATCCAAGTCGGATCAATCGTGTCGTGTCCTACATTCAGTTGCGAATCTATATAAGTATTTAAGTACTATTAGAGCCTTGTTATCACTTTCGATTTGTAAGTCGTTTTTGGCTGGGGGCTGGGGCCGCCACTTCGTTGTTCCAGCAACCCGCTAATCCTCCACCAAGGCATCTAGATATCCTAGATGCGAATGGATAGGAGTGAGACATTGCGCTTCAGCAGGGTGTGCGGTCGCAGCTCCATGCTCGCCGTATCCCCCATGTCCACCATGTCCACGCCCATGTAGCTGCTGTCCATGGTCCCACGATCGGCCAAAGTGTGCAGGCTCTGGGTGTCGTAGTCGTAGTTCAGGTCCTGCATGGGCACCACCTCGGGCAGAAGGTGACGGATGTGTGTGGGTGATCGCCTCAACTTGTATTGATTTCTGTGGGTGAAGATGTTGGGACTTCAGTTAAGTAGTCAAGGTGATGAAGGATCGGTACAGAAGGCATGCATGATGGATGGAATAGCCTGATTTTACTATATGGTCTTTTTTTCTAATAATAAGGATAGCATTGTCTTGGTTTCAATAGTCAAATCACTTATTTCAGTATATATCAGTAGAATCAGGATATTAATTTGGTCGGATGAAATGGAAAGCTTACTCTGCATCGTTGTTCTTTCCCAAGTTGTTACTTCTGCAGATGTGCAAACCATAAAGTGTTGTAAAAACCAAAATAAGTACACACAGAACATTCACAAACAATTTTTAAAGAGGCTCAGGAGTAGGACTATAGGCACTAAATATTTGTATTTTTATATAACGAACATGTTTTCTCAAAATAATATTCCTTTGTTAAAAGATACTGTTCAAAAACATCAATACTTATTAAAAAAAAGAGGGGGATATGAACTACCCTTCAAGTTGTTAGCCAGATAATTCGTATTACAGTTTTATGATATATTGTATGATATTATATTTCCAATATCTAATTTTTCTTGTTCAATAACCTCAATTTAACTAGGAAATCTATTCAAAATATAAGCATAGCCCAAATTTCAGGTATCTGCGGATAACCTATGACATTTTGTTCCTCAAAACTTTGATGCCTAATTATTTTGTGTTTAACTAACTAATTATAAACTTGGCTAATACAAACCCACTTTCAGAGCATGCCATATTGTGCCAACTGGCTGGACAAAGAAGGGGAAATATTAAAGGTCAATCCTGTCGGCAGTGGAAGGATAAAAAAGCTTTCGAAAGCCCTCAGACACTTGCGAGCCCAAGTCCTATCTCTAGATAATAGAGCGGAAAACCCCGGCAAGTGCCCAGTGAATTGGCCTACCCCCTGAGCCTCTTCCTAATCGCGCGATTACGTACTTTTTATGTCGGTTCCCATTGAGACACATGCAGTGGCACGAGCACATGGACGAGGCGTTGCTTCCGTTCAGAGATTGGCCATCGTGTCCCTCGTAGCCGCTCAGAATGGATCCGTTGGATGTTATCACATCGCCCTCCAGCTTCACAGCCACTTGCAGCGCCTGCAAGGGGTTAATACAGGTGTTAGATACAAATCGTCTATGGATTCAGGGGGTGTTTTTGAATGCCGAGTGGGTGGAGTATAGCATTGAAGACTGAGGAACGGTGTTTTCGTGTGGTTTTGTGGATTGGAACTGGATTGGTGGTGGTGCTTCTTTGTTCAGTGTCGTACAGAAAGCCAGGTGGTTAAGTAGTATAGTAGTTTGTTGGGGGCGTGTTTGTTAGTTAGTCAAGAGTATTGGAATCTGAAAAACCGCAATCACCTCGTTGGTCCATAAACTGGACTTGGACATAAACTAAGCTCGCGTTTTGCATTTGATGCGTTTCATTATCGTTTCGTTAAGTCAAAAGCAACCGAAAATATGCGAAAAAAGAAAGTATTTATTCGATTTTTATTGGTTAGCTCTCGCATTTTGGGCCTGCATTGAATAGATTGTATAAATTAATTTGTTCAAAACATTTGGTATTAAAATTGTTAAGTAAATATCGAAAAAGAAGCCGAAGGTGCAAGATCAAGAGTTAGCCAAGTGTGCAGCAAAGTGGCAAGCAGATATATGTATGATATTTAAAAAAACTATAGTTAATTTAACAAGTTTGGTCAAAAGGTACGAGAGTATGAGACAGATGGAAGTTGTACGAAAAGAAATTACAAAATTTGTAATATTATGGAATCTAGGGTACAGTGAAGCGTTGGTATAAGGATAAAACTGTAGAGCAAAGCGGTTGACTACCAAAACGGGGGGAAAAGCCTCGAGTTTGGAAACACTCGCCGTGGCGAGTGGCATAATACTATAGTAATAAAATCCAAAAACAGTCCTCAAGTCTACGGTAATAAATGGCATGAGTTGCTCGACTTACTCCCGCACGGAGGACCCCGATCTCACCTGCATGGCCTGGGCCTCGTCGCGTCGCTCATCCTCGGTATTCATTGTAACAAACCTAAGTACTAACAAGTTCAGCGAGGCGGCCACGATGGCCAGGCCAAATAGTATAAATATCAGTGCGAACATCACGTATTCGGGCTTCCTGTTCAGTGCATTGTCCCGCTGCAGGGCTACCATGTCGCCAAAGCCTTGGAAAAAGGTATTCAAATTATATTCTTGGTTGGGAAAGTTGTATATGATCCCCTACCTATTGTGGTTAAAGTAATAAAACAGTAATATACTGAATCGAAGTAGCTCCAGCCCTCGAATTTCGAGAAGGCCGCAGCACCGCCTGCTATCGTCAGCGAACTGAGAGTGGTCACAACACATATGAGGTCCACCTCCGAGGCGACGGTCCTTTTGCAGCGCAGCGAGGAGCGGACCGCTTTGATAACATAGCTGTAGGTTAGAGATATAAGGATGTGTAAGATTAAAGATATTTTAAAAAAGTTGAATTAGACTTAAGGTAATAAAGTAGTTGAAATAAGTTAAAAACGTATAGTTATACCCGTTACTCATAGAGTAAAAAGGTATCCTAGATTCGTCGGGATATATATGTTTATGATCAGGATCAGAAGCCGAGCTAGCCACGTCCGTATGTCTATCCCTCCAATTGAAATTGAGATATCGGGAACTATAAAAGCTAGAACGCTGGGATTTGGCATGCAGATTCTTGAGGTTGTTGCGCAGCAAGGTACCACGACCACAAACGCCCATAACGCTAAAGTTTATAATATGTTGTATCAGTAAGCATCTGCATTCCAAAAATTGTACAAATCGGAT